AGTCCTACAGTACTCCCGCACTAAATTTGATAAGAGGCATCCATTTTGGGGGCATAACTTTTTTGCTGGTTTGAGATTAGAAATCTATATAAAGTAGGTAATTTTTTTCAAAGAGTGTACCGCTTTCTTTCCCGAAACGACCTGATTACTAGAGGAGATATCACCCTGTAAATCTATCCAACATAATCAAAATGAATTGACATCAGGTCATACTCCTAGTCATGTTTACGTAACCATACACATAACAATACAACAATACAACTCTCCAATAAGCAATCACTTCAAGTTCAATGAACGACCTAACAGTCAGGTAACAATGGAAGTTCAACGCTCTGCATCTTCACTTCGTACTTTACGGATCGGTACTGCCGTCAACCTCGTCGGTGAGTTAATACCGAGGGGGCGTGCACGTCGGGGTGAGTTCAACAGTCGACATGAGGATCGTCATACTGATACTCGCTAGTATTCACTCTGTTAATTTACAAACCACAGAACCTCAGGTAAGACAGGTTTCAGTCATTTTTTCAAGGACATTTTTCTTTGAGACTTATTTTAGAAAACTGACAATCCATAGAAGCCATTTCTTCTTTCCAAAATTTCCTCTACACCTTTCGTTCTCAAAAGTCAATACGCAACAATCCTTTGCAAGCGCACAAGTTCATCGTTTGTTTATTTTGTTAGTGCAAAATACAAGAGTTCCCTTCTAAAGTAAAATTTGGCAGAAAGACTCAACTGAAAGATTTCGTTAGGCAGAAAATTTCTGAATGCACATGAATACGAATGTTTACGATGCGCGAAGACTCACTGATCAAAAGAAGTGGCAGCCTTAGTCTGATAGCCAAACAAACAGTGGCGGGTAATGTTGCAGTTCTACTCTGCTCAGCGATACCAGCGGTAAAAAATTTGCATTTGGATGATTTTGAAATTTGATGTAGAGACTTCCTATATAGCAGTAATGTGCAACTACTTTTTCTTTAATATAGGCAAGATATGGTGGAAATCACGCAACTCATAGTAAAGAAAAGATATAAAATGATTTTTGATATGACTTTTTTCCTAGAATCGTTAATTAAATGTCAAACTTTCACAGAAAAATTGAGGAGCTAACCGTTCAAAACATGCAGTTTTTCCATTTCAAAACTATCTCACTTATGCATTTAAGATAAACAGCAAAAAATGGGGTGTTACTTTGATTTCGCTTGACAGTTTCGATTTTGCTGCGATAAGTAGGCTGCCGCGCCACTTAACGTATGGAAAAACGTTGAGTTTGGAAGTGAGAAAATTCGTATTTTTTGATCAAATAAGATCACCCATGAGCTCATACAACTTTTCGTATTGAAAGATATGGGTATCGCAGGTCACAATCACAATAAAAAAAGATTTATGACGGCAAGCCTACCGAAATTTTTATCTTTGTTGCACAAATTTTTCCGAAAACAAATTCCGCTATCCTCCTTTCTCCTCCCTCTCTCCTCCTTCCCAGCGTTTCCCTTTTACATGCGACCTCACAACCATATCTGATCCTGACTTTAAGCTAAACAATATGAAAAGCCCACTTTCCAGCTCTTTACCTTAGATGATCAAGGAAAGCTTCATTTCCTAAAATTACGTAAATAACTTCAAAATCTAATGGAGCCTTAGATAAGATAGGAATTGATTAAAAACTTAGCTTTTTTACTAGACTATTTTTTTCGCAGAATTTGGCGCTATGTTTTACTCGTTGATGAATGACTCATCAAATCGTTTGATCAGTTTGAAGGTCAGCGAATAGTTTTTTGTGGAGTTGGAGATCCATCAAGTATTTTTTATTCCCCAAACGCGAGCTCCTCCCTCCCCCCAAAAAAAAGTTGCTTTAACAGACACAAACTAAGCTCTAAATACAAGAGCGAGTTGTAGATGCATTTGATTTTGACTTTGGTGGTTCCTGCTTCTTCAACATGCTTGCCAGGGAACCAAAATGGAAAAGAATGCTAAACCTGTCTTAGAAATAATTAATATCGTTCATCAAGACAGTCCGAAGTAATCCATGATTCCTCATTTTTAGTCAAAGCTAAAACTTTAGGAAGAAGTACCTTCAGGTTCGCACGTTTCAAAGAAAATTGTTTGGTTGAGTAGAGCTCTGGAATGATTTACTCAACCTTTTTACTTGTAACGCAAAAATTCGCCCTCCATTCAAACTTTCAAGTTGTCTGTTCTCTGTTTGCGAGATGGCGATCCATAGCACAATTTTTTCCCTCTCCAGCACTAAATCTTGAAGTAGAGGTGCTGCAAAAAAATACTTGCATAAACAGTGGAGCTTTCTAGCAGAAAAGAGTTTTCCTATTTTTTCCTACAAGGCTGCTAAAATCGTAACTTTTTATCCTAGACTGAGGTCAGATCAACTTGTGAGATTTGCTCAAAAGTTCTAATAAATGAACTTGAGACTTCGTATATTCAATTGGTTCAAGAAAAAAATTCAAAATTTTTCTACAAAAAAATCTTTTTACAATTTTGAAGTTCAAAAAGTGCGATAAGGCTGATTTGTCTATGAGTCACGCATTAAAAGTTCATTGTTTATCAGACAACAGATCTTTCGCCATAACTTTATGATTTCTATCCAGTTTACATATACTTTATAGTTAAATATAAACTAGCTAGAAACTATATCCTTTTCATCATTTTCGACAATTGCAGAATTACTATCAACTGTCCTATCTTTGCTTTTATTCCAATCGACCATTGTTATCCTTGAATATGTAACCCAACTATTTGCGAGATAATTATTGACAAAACCTTAGAATAAATTAGAATTAAAATGAAACTTGTAAT